GGTTGCTCCAGTCCTCCCAGCAGTAGGACCGGGGACCAGCACTGCTGGGGGGTGACCCGTGTGATGGGCTGGTATCCCGTCCAGGGAGGGGGTGTCACGTGTTCTCTTGCCCAACTAACACAACAGGAGCCCGGGAAAGCTCTGGCCCGATGAGTCCATGTGGGTTGGAAATGGAAATTCTCTACAGTTCCTTGCCTATTGTTTGTGTGTGATGGACTCCTTTGAGGATCAAAGTGAAACCTGGCAGAAGCAGCTCATTACGCAGCAGGACACCGGTGACCTTTGACACCTGTGAGAGCTGGGTGAGGGGGGTCAGCTGCTCGGGCATGACAGAGTGCTGTTTGTTGGCACAGGCGGTGGACACACATAGTTGAGGTCCCCATGGGGAATGTCCGGAGCAGCCACGGGACCTCGCGACTGGACGCCACAGCTGGAGGAGGGGTCTCGAAGAGTTCTGTCTCCCCAGCGGCAGCTCTGTCTGAAGCCCGTACTCAGTTTATTGTATTAGTGCTGTTGAACTCAGGAAGTGCTAGTTAAAAGCAGTAAGTTTTAATTCTCCAGACCTTGTATTTTTACTGTTACTGGGAGACTAAGTATGCATAATCTACAAATCTTGTAAGGAATATGTTGAACACAATTTTTAAAGTTTTGGCCTGACCTTGCGTGCTTTTCATTTTGCAACAAGACGTAATTAAAATTTTCTCTCTGATACAACACCAAATTCAAGCTTTTGCATTCCATATTGAACTTATTTAATGTAGCAGGAGGAATGAGGTTTTTGAGTTTATATTGATAAAACCCCTCCTCTGAGGGCTTGTGTAACAGATAGCCCACATGGTCTACAATGTCTTTGAGGTATTTGGACACACAGTTCTCTGCCACAGGGCCTGATGCATACTCTAACAGCACAGTATCCCTGCAGGCTCATCTAATGTGGGTTTATGTCCTCTGGCTCTATATCCAGTGAATCAGACACTATTTGTATTCCAGTGATCCGCACTCTCTTACATGTCAAGTAGAGATCCAGACCTGAGCCTAGAGAGTCTAGAGCATCTTTAAGTGTTAAAAGTAAGTGAAAGTGTTACACAGACTTTTAATAAGAATAAAAATCCTGTAATATACAGACATTAAGTACATTTTACTACTGCTACAAGCGAACGTGACTGTTTCACTTAATCCCAGCCCTCTTAACACACCAGAGGTAGGGAAATGATGGGATTTTAGCTGTTTTTGCTCTATGTTACTGTTTTTGTTTTTAAAAAGGAAGTCACTTTTTCAAAAATGATTAGTGTAAAAGACTTGCTTTGGAAGTCTTGTACAAGTTTCTGCACTTTTTTCAAAGAAGGTCTTTGCTGTAACAGAGCGGCAAGTTAAATTCCAGAAAACAGCTGTCAATATTTGTCTCTGGTATTTATTGCTGATTTTCACCCAACGCGTTCTTCTGGCTGCTCCATTTAGAAAGTGACTTTTCTGAAAACATTTCCATTTTGTTGTTTAGGACATGAAGTTGAAACCAGAACAGTGTGCAGGCAGGATAACGGCAGCGTAGATATCGGATGATTTTAAAGTTCTTGCAGTTTGCTTTTCACCAAAACGAAGCATGTGTCCAATTACTGTACCTCTCACACCGCAGCTCTGCCTGTAAGTCCTGCAGGTATAAAAAGGCACTGGGGAAAAATGCAGAACATTCGGGGCGGGTCCTCCAGTGTCCAGCTGGGAATCAGAGAGGGGCGGTGACTGACAGCAGCCGTGTCCAGTCCGCTCCCTCGGAGACCCCAGGACAGGCCCGGAGCCCGCCTCCTGTGCTAGAGAGTGCTCCTCAGGTCTGCCAGGAGCTCAGTACTGGGGTCTGTGTGCTCCCTGTGTTCTCAGGGGCTGCCTGTTGGGCTGGGTTCACCGTTTCCATTTTGTGTGAAGAGCCTGTTCTGGAGTACTGTCCTGCTCTGAAGCCAGGTGCTTGCGAATCCAGGAGTCCTCACCATGGCTGGACACTTCGGGACCCTCCAGACCCTCGTCCTGCTGCAGGCGGTCTTCCTGACCCTGGCGCAGGTGGTGAGTCTCTCCGTCTTTTCTTTTCCGTCTACCTTGTCCGGATGGGAATGCTCTGAATAATCAGAAATAAACCAAACATGGGGGGTGGTGTTGTTTCCAATAGCCCTGGAAACACCTCTCACTGACCGTCCACTGCAGTGACCATGGGGTCCTGCAGAGTGACCAGTCTGGGCATCGCTGGGGGTGCAGTGCTGCTCTTTACATTTACTGAAATCGGTTATTTGTGCCTCCAGAGTGAAAGGAGACCTGCCAGTGGTTAACACTGTAACTTGCTCTTTGTCGGGTAACGAGTGCAGGGCTACTGGTACTGCTGGAAGTGTAAAACTGTCACGTATCACACTGTCCAGCTCTGGAAATATTCTGACTGCGGTGGCAGAGAGCACATCACATGAAAATGCATGGAGGGGAGATTCCTTGAGTGCACACAAATGAAATACTTGGAAAAGCCACAAAACCGTGAGCAGGCAGCCCAAGGAGCTGAAGAGAAGGAGACATTCAGGGATCAGGTTTAAAGTGAGCGGCCCAGGGACGCTGAGCACAAAGCTCTTATTCAGTGTCTGGAGCCGGAGAGCAGCTCTGCACACACACAGGGGAGTCTGTGTGTCGATGGCTGCTGAGTCCAGCGCTCTTCGCTCCTGACAGGGGCAGCAGCAGGCGAGAGCGTGGGCTGCAGAGACAGAGGGACGGGCAGGCAGGGGCAGACTGTCCCTGGGCTCCAGAGACAGAGGGAC